TGAGGCCGCATCTGGAGTACCGTGTCCTGTCCCGGGCTCCTCAGCGCTAGAAGAGAAAGCTGAGAGTTGGTCTTATCAATGCTTATAAATATCTGATGGACAGTAGTCGATGGTTGGGGCTAGGCTCTTTTTGCTGTTGCTGAGTGACTGAATTAAGAGGCAACGGGCACACACAGGAACACAGGAAATTCTGTGCGAACATGAGTAATACTTCTTGACTGTGAAGCAAACTAGGCTGTCCAGAGTGTGTGGAGAGTCTGGATGCTTTCTTGGGTTGCTCACTATAGGGAGCCTACTTTAGCAGGGGTGTGGATTAGAAGAAGTCCTTTCCAACCCAGGGCATTCCGTTTTTCTGTGAAATGAAGTGGTAGAAAAATTACTCTTGGGTAGTATTTTCTTGCTTTTGTTTTAGGTGTTATTTGGAACGTAGCTATTGCATTACTTGAGTACTGGTCACCAGTCCCTTATGAAGTTAATTTCCCCTTCTCTCAAGCTGGTGAAGACACTCTGTATTGAAGACTTTCATTTTCACTTGCCTTTTGATGCATCCTCTGCTGAGGTGGAAGAATCACTGTTTTAGTAATCAGAGAAATAGTTGTGGAATTGATGTTTTCTCTCCCTTGTTCATTCTTTACATAGTCTGTCCAATTGCCATCAAGACTAAAGGAAAGTAAATTTAAGGCTCTATCAACAATAATTTTATGCTGAGAATGTTTTAAAACCAATGGCCAAGTCATATCGTGAAAATGCACAACTTACAGTGGCTGCTAGATACATCCTATTTTGAAGTGTTTTAAATTTAGTTAGGCCTTTTTAGCATTTAATTTCTTCCAGTACACTTCTCTTTTCCTCTGAATTTCTGCAACATATTGATGCATTCTGTGTAACTTGTATATGCTCAGTTTTTGTGTCAGTGAAGTTCTCTCATAATCATGTCCGAAAACCAAAACAGAAGTGAGGCAAACTGTGAGGATTACAGTTTTTTTAAAAACTCTCTGACTACACAATTAGTCATGGAAAGAAATAATAATGACAGAATGGGTGGGTAGAAGACTATGTGGTTTGTGAAAACAGCTGGCTAAACAAGGCAGAAAATCACTCACGGCTTAAAAAGTTTGCCTCAACATACTTAAAATGAATTGCTTGGACATGCCCTTCTCACATTGCAGAGAAGGTAAATGTGCCTGAGAAGGCATTATTTTCTTTTATGCACACGTTTGCAAACAAAATCCTAGAACTGCAGTCCTTGAAGGTATAAGGGAGCAGGAACTGAAGCAGCAATGAAAATGGAATCTTAAGGCATGGTAGAAATGGAGGAGATGCTCGATGAGCAAACAGGATGAAAGACAGTTACAGGAACAATCACATACGCTAAGATGGTTCAGTAGATTATCCAAGGTATGTATACTAACTGGGAGAAGAATTCCTTGAGAGTAGCCATGCTGAGAAGGACTGGTGGATGAAAAACTTAACATGAGCCAGAAGTGCGTGTTTGCAATCTGGAATGTCAATGGTATCCTGGGTGCCATTAGAAGAAGGGTGGCCAGCAGGCACTGCGAGGTGATTGTCCCTTTCTTCTTTGCCCTTGTGAGGCCCCATCTGGAGTACTGCAACCAAGTCTGGAGCTCCCCACTCAGGAAAGATGTGGAGATTTTGGAGAGGGTCCAGAGGAGGGCCATGATGATGATCCAAGGGCTGGAGCACCTCCTCTATGAAGACAGGCTGAAGGAACTGGCCTTGCTCAGCCTGGAAAAGAGAAGGACGTGGAGAGACCTCATTGCAGCCTTCCAATATTTAAAGACAGTTTATGAACATAAAGAAAATAAACTTTTAATGCAGACAGAAAGTGATAGGACAAGGGGGGATGTTTTTATACTAATGGAGGGGATATTTAGATTAGATGTCAGGAGGATGTTTTTTACTGAGAGAGTGGTGAGGCGCTGGAACAGGTTGCCCAAAGGGGTTGTGGATGCCCCATCCCTGGAGGTGTTCAAAGCCAGGTTGAATGGTCCCTGGGCAATCTGATCTAGTACTTGATTTAGCAGCTGGCAGGAGGATTGGAACATTATAATCCTTGAGGTCCCTTCCAACCCAAGCCATTCTATGGTGGGATGATATGGGGTCTGGCTTCATCCCGGGACTGGAGGGAGTCATGTTATAAGTTGGCCTGCCTGCCTCCCAGTGTGAATCTCTGGACACAGTTGTGTGGATAACTTTGTAAACATAACTGCTGAACTTAAAGTTGGTGGAGGCATGGTTTGCTTGGCCATTGGCTCTTTTTATTCTATGTTGTGTTGGCCTCTAGTTTGTTTTCACTTGAGGCTCAGTGAGCAGTTGAGATGTCACTTATCCTCCCACTCTAACTAAATGCCTGTGGAGGGCCACAGAATGCTTTCAGCTTTCTTTTTCCTCCTTACCGAGAAAGAATTTGTGCTGAGAACATTGTGCTGCACATGTTTAATTATTAACTAAAAAGTTCAATATAAGCTCAATAGCAGTGAAGACCAGGTAGTTATTGGAAAGTAATTTCTTGAGATTAAAATTCTTTAGCTGCATACTGTGAGGTGTTCTTAAAAGGACAAGAGTATAAGAAAACTATAGAAAATATCCATTTCCAAAGTATCTGGAAGAGGAGCAAAGTCTTCAAACAGGTAAGGATAAACTTACTAATGTTTGAAAGTGAAGATATCTCTGTACTTTCACCAAGTAATCCAATCTGCTAAACCTGCATAATCTGTTAAGTATTAAGCTTGTGAATATTTACAAATCCAACATATTATACTAAAGTTATTTGTTTTGACATCTTTTTAAGACAGTTTTGTTGAAATCATTGAGAGCTCATAAAGTATTTTAGAATAAAAATTTTGAGTTTAAAATTTTTAAGAGAATCATTTTTACCTGCTTCTAAACATGGGCTTGAAGGCAGTGCTTGTGAGGTGAAGCATTCTGATGGGACATCAATATCTTTGCGTGCTGGCTTACTGGACAAAAAAAGGACAATCCCAGTTGATAAGAGAATTCTATTAACCAGTTGAAATTTCATTGGAAAAGATCTCATTTGTTAGAAAACTCAGTTCTTCATTTCCTATAGCTTGGTTTCATTGTAAATGTGTGAGATTGGGCTTCTCTTCATATTGGGTTCATTTTATGGAGCAGGCAGTGGAGTTATCTTCATAAAATTGCTCAGGTTGGAAAAGACCTTAAAAATCATGAAGTCCAACCGCAACTTAACCATACTACCCTACTTTAACAGCCCTCTGCTAAGTCGTATTCCTGAGCACCACATTCACATGAATTTTAAACACATCCACGGATGGCACCTCCCTGGGGAGCCTATTCCAGTGCTTAACAACCCTTTCTGTAAAGAAGTTTTTCCTGATATCCAACCTAAACCTCCCCTAGCACAACTTGAGGCCATTTCCCCTCATCCTGTCATCTGTGTCCAGTGAGAAGAAACCAGCCCTGCTCTCGCTGCAATCACCTTCCATGTAACAGAAGATCAAGGTCTCCCCTCAGCCTCCCCTTCCCCAGACTAAACAGCCCCAGTTCATTCAGTCTCTCCTCGTTGGGCACATTCTCTGAGACCCTCACAAACCTTATTGTCCTTTGGACCTGTTCCAGCACCTCAGTGTCCCTTCTGTACCGAGGTGCCCAAAACTGAACACAGTACTCGAGGTGAGGCCTCACTAGTGCCGAGTACAGGGGCAGGATTACTTCCTTTGTGCTGCTCATTACACCATTCCTGATAGAAGCCAGGATGCCATTGGTCTCATATAATGACACTGCACGTTATGTGTGGTAAAATGTAGAATAGCTTCAACACAAAAGTTACTTGAACTGTGGGTTTCAGAGAGGAAGAAGATAATGGAATAAGAACTACAGTTCAGAGACATGGCTGGAAAAGGAAAGGGGAATAAAATATTTCTGTCAATGTCAAAAAAAGGGAAAAACAACACATACCCCAATGAAAACTTGATTTCAAAAAAAGTTTTCAAAAAAAAATACTGATATATGATGAAAGGTTTTTTCAGAAGAGCATGCTGAATGTCTGCCATACAAAGTGTATCTCCCACCACTAGTGTGAATGAAAAGCAAAACAAGGAAACTGGAATATCTGCATTGAAAATAGGAGTTTTACCAAGCTTAGGGTGGTGAACTGTGATAGTCAGCTTCCCTCTTTACCAGTCACCTGGCTTCTGCCGCTGAGAAGGGTGTAAGAGCAGAGGATGTGGGGAGAGAACTGAAGGCACAGTAGTAGCAAGAAGCTGGAACGCTTATGACCTTAGGAGAGGACTATTGGTAGCCTGTCAGTATTTCAAGTCAACCACATCAGATACAAGTTTTTGACATCCTTATGTTTCAGAAAATTATTTTATTCCAAATACCTGTCTGTTTGCTAGGGTAGTGTCAAGCACTGATGTGAGTAATACTGTTGTGCAGGCTGAAGTAATTCAACCTCTTAAAATGCACAGAAGGATGCTGCATAAGGAAATGAATGATCTCATATGGTGGATCGGGGATGTAAAGTAACCAACTAAATTCAATGGAGAAACTATCCTAGAAAAAGACTGCTGCATCATTAACAATAGTAATGCACTGGAACATATTGATCAGGAAAGCTATAAATTCGGTGTCAGAGTACTGCTACTACAAGGTTGCTAATAATGCCTGCCTGCATTTTACCCTCAAAGTTGTCCTCCGAACAAAGTGTTTAGTTTAAGTTATAGTTTAAGTTAAGTTTAGTTTAGATATATGAAATAACACAAATATTCCCATAGGACATGGCAAGCATCATTATTATGACCAGTCATGTGTAAAAGTGATTGGAAATTTCAGAAATACCATATGTGGCACTTTCTGCTTTTAGAAGCAATCCAAGTGCAGAGAATTAGAAACACTCTAGCTACTCCTAGAACCTACTGTCTGTGCTTCCAGGTGATTAACACACATTAGGATGGGCTGAAAGCAGCCAAAGAAGGTGGCCGGCATACACCTTTTCCCTTCATCCCGTATCATAAAGGAACTGGTCTTTGCAATATGGCTCATACTGACCTCTTCTGTACTATTCTATACCATTTTAAAGGGAGAGAGAATAAATGCAAAGGATTTAGGAAGAGATGGCATTTCTATAATGGCGTCCTGTGGGTGCATTATCTCACACATTCAGAGGCTTTTTTCTTTGTATCTCACTCTGATTTGTACATTTCTTTGTGCAATTTTTAAAAAGTTGGACAGTTTTCCCTGAAGAAATACCTCTGCCTTCCAGCAGTTTCAAATTGCTCATGCTATGTTTGATATCCTTATATATCTGCAACCCCATCAGAATCTTGCTGAGTTTTTGACTGCTGTGCTTCCTGTGGTAATCACTTATTTTTCCTGCAGTTTTAACCACACATCATGAGAAAAACTGTTTCCTTCTATTTTTAATCTGCTATCTCTTAATTACACTGAGCAGTCCCTCTTGAGCTTTTGAAATTCGAAAAACATAAGCTCTTTATATTTTCCTTGTAGTTTTTCCTTCCTTCTACTTTCCTCGTCTTAATCCTGTTGTTCCAGGCCTGCACATACGAATTTTCCCCCGAGCAGAGGACTGCCTTTGAGGAGAAGTCCCTCCTTAAACTTCAGGAGAGCCATGATGAAAGTGAAAATCATAGAATCATAGCAGTTGGAAAAGACCTCTAAGATCACCTAGTCCAGTCATCAACCTATCACCACCATGTCCACTAACCATGTCCCTCAGGGTCACACCTACCCTTCTATTGAGTATCTCTGGGGATGGTGACTCCACCACCTCCGTGGGCAGCCTGTTCCAATGCCTAACCACTCTTGCTGAGAATTAATTTTTCTTAGTAACCTGAACCTCCCTGGAACAACTTAAGGGCACAACCTTTCACTAGTAACCTGGAAGAAGAGGTTACTCCTCCTCCTTGCAGGGAGCTATAGAGTGTTTCCCCTGAGCCTCCTTTTCTTCAAACTAAACAATCCCAGTTCTCTCAGCCGCTCCTGGTAAGACTTGTGTTCCAGACCGCTCATCAGCTTCGTTGCCCTTCTCTGGACACACTCCAGGGCCTCAATGTCTTTCTTGTAGTGAGGGGCCCAAAACTGCAACCAGTACTCGAGGTGCTACTTCAACAGGGCTGAGAACAGAGGGATGATCACTTCCCTGGCCATGCTGAATACACTACCTCTGATACTATCCAGGATGCCATTGGCCTTCTTGGCCACCTGGGCATGCTGCTGGCTCATTTTCAGCTGGCTGTCAATTAATACCTCCAATCTGAGAACATACTGAATATGAACATACTAGAATCATTCCAGTAATAGATCAAAAGCTACTAGAATGTTTCTTGTATGATTCACCAACTTGTTTTTACTGGATACTGAGCTCTTACTATTCTTGATCATACTGCCAATCAAATGGAAGTTTTCATTAAATGGTGCCACCAAGATTGCTTAGGCTGAGTCCATTATTTTGACCCTGAAGATTTTTCTTCCATGCTTCCTCTGTATGCTTTGTTACTTCAGAACTAATTTTACTGAGCTTCCTGAAACTGTACTGGCCATTCAATATGTGACATTCCTAGCCTAGTCCTCTGTGGTTCCTGTGCTGCATCTTTAATAGAAAAAACAGAATGAGCTGGACGTTATGTCCTTTCACTACAAGCTTTTGTATGTTTAGTAAAAGATATTTACTAAGAACTACAAACATAATGTGGCTTTCATGTATTCTAGGGAGCAGAAGTGCCTGACCTCCTTGGCCAGGACCATGATTGAGATGGAAAATGCAAGGAGTGGGCTAGGAGAAATACAACCTGGTATTGTAGTGACAGATCAGAGACAGGAGGTAATAAGTAAGCCTGGAGAGAGAACTTGTGGGTATTTTTCCCTGTGGTTATTAACATCTACTTAAGGTGCTCCATAAAATGGTAATATTTTCTGCCCAAACATCACGGACCAATTAGTTTTACAGAATTTGCAAAGGAAGTGGAAGCACTCTGTGAACAAAATGATGGATCTCTGGACAAAAAAAAGAAGACTAGAGAACATTTTTTGAAAAGTAGAAACTAGAAAGCTGTTAGCACTGCCTTTCTGTTAAATGTGAAAAGCGTGCTAATTATGGCCTGCATTTGGTTTTAGAAACCTCTTATCAGTAGGTTTCCTAAATAATGTATAATGAAAGTTTAATGTTACAGTATAGACTCAGAGGAGGCCTTTTAGAGGATTTTAGAGATACAGCTTGGAAATCTGCACCACTCTATTTGATGCTGTTCAGTATTAAGAGCTAAACATAAATTAGGGTATGAGTCAAACTTGATTATACATGTAGATATAGAATTATCATTCCCAGAAATTGAAATCCTCAAATCAAGTAATTTTTTAATTTTCACTCATTCTTCTTAATAAACCTATTCAATCAATTGATTCAGACTAACCAATTAAGTCATGAAAGCATTTGGAAAGCTCTGTAAACACCAACAAGGGAAGTGTAGCTTTATGGAAAGCGTACGCTCAAACAGAAGGCATTTCACATCAGCACCAATGAGACATCGGTGTGTTGTTAACCCCCTCTGGGCTGGAACATGGACACAAGGCACAGTGCAGTGCCAACTCAAGTTACAGCAAATAAGTTTATGGATTTTGATACTGGATA